TCCTGGGAAGAGACTTCCTGCGGATGGCAGGGATCGATCTCTTCTTCACCAAACAAACCATCTGATGGCTTGACAGATCCATCTAGATGCGTGCCCCTGATCATTTCAATGATCCAGGGAACGTTGCAGACGCATTATGGCTTGCAGACGATGAGGAGTTAACGGATGGCGGTTTTCTAGAACTCCATCTCCCGTCAGGCAAACCTGCAGAGGCCTTCCTAGCAGGACCCCAGTCCACGTTATTTCGTGCAAGTCATGAATGTAGATTGTGTATGAATCATAGATATGTGTCATATGTATGTGTTGTAGATATGAATCATTTCCCAAGTTCTGATATCCTACGGACAGAGACCCCCACTGACTAAACTCAGGTATTAAGACTGCTGGGATCCCAGAATCAAAATTTTTAAGTCCCTCACAGCACTTGTTATCCAGTCAACAAAGGAGTGTTCAACTTGACAAAAATACAGGCTCACTGCTGCTCAAGAAGCATCAACAAAAGAACATTGCTAGCTAGTGCAGCAAGTCCTACTAGGATTGACACACACCAGGCAAAACTACTTTGGCCTCAATATAGATAGCAGTGTTGGAGGTAACAACACATAAGAACTTGGAGGTGGTAGTAGGGAACCAGAAGAGGCACAATATGAGGACTAGAACCAGAACTTCTAGAAAGGGACCAAAGGGGCCTTTTAAAAATGTTTCCCCAGCCCAACCCTTTGGCATCTGCAACAAATGCCTGGCTTGTTTATCTGGCAGCAGTTACAGGTGGAGAACCAACTGGAGTGTCCAAACAGTCAACTGCAACGGGAAGAACAGCTGAGCAATGGTTCCAGGCAACACTAACTCCTGCCATCAAATTAATCTTCAAGATGCCTACAAAAAGGCAATGTAATTTGAAGCATAAACCAGTTGATACCATCTCAGCCTTGCAAGATAATCTCAACTAGCAAAGAGAGATGGCTGGCAAGGTCAAGAGAGAGGAAAGAGTCAAAGAAAATCAGTCAGCTCAAGAGGAACACAAGAATGACAGAGATACTTACACGCAGTTCTGTCCAATCACAACAATGATGCTGCAAAACATGGCTGGTGCTACCCACACACAAAACACACCAGTTCCTCAAAATGAAAGCCTCCAGAACAATAACAACAGCATTGCTGATTAATCCCATGATGATCTCTTGGATAAATTTCAATAACAACAATTTGTTTTGATAGCAATCTTGGCATGCAGATGATACTGTAATACATACTAGAGGAGGACCTTCCAGAAAAACATAAGTCACTTCTTGTATAGCATACTGGATGTAAGCCCAAACACTAATGATACTTCTTGCAACTGATCCACAAGTATGATACCAATAAAACTATTCCAAGGCAAAAAAAAGTCGCATCTGCTTCTTGCAGCTTCCCTTTTGGTCTGCAACCAAAGGTAAAATGCTATTTTTTTCCACTAAGCTTTTAGTGATCAAAGACCAGTTTGAAGAGACCCAGAAGGTCACAGAAATCTCTCCAGTCAGCACCACAGCAGTTTAGGACAGCTTGGTCACTACCAGATTCAAGGAAAAACAGAAAGGGTGAATTGGTGTATCAGCACAACATTATCCTTAGTGTTCTTTTATCTCTCCTAAGAAGGGGCTCCCCAGGGGACAGCTTCTTTTCCATCTCCAGCATCTCCTGGGCCTCTTCAAGGGTCCAGAAGAAGATGGCTGTCTCAAGAAGAACCATAATTTTGTTTTGTAGGTGTGGCAGCCTGCCAGCAGGAAAGCAAGAGCAAAAATGAAGGACAGCCCTCTACTACCATCCTACTAATACCATTAGTAGTATTAGTAGTACTGCTGCTACTAGTGGCCTAGGATCAAGTCAGTCTGACTCATAGCTGTGATTGTAACTGTATTAGAGGCCATTTTGAAACTGTGCGCAGAGTTAGACTGTAGGTCCTGTAGGCCTCTCCTGGCTCTGCTGAAGTTTAGTATGACATGACAATTGAAAGGTTGTAAATTGTCACAGTTGCTGAAGTTTTTGGTGCTACACAGACAGTGGGAATGTCAGAAAACTTGAAAATGGGAAGAAAAGTTTTCAAAACTGACAGAAACTACTAGAACTAAGATGTCGTGGGAGGGATTCTAAGAGGTGCAAGCCCCTTCTTGTTCCTTGCCGTGATTGCACAAAACTCAGCACTTGCTTGAGACTCCCTGCAGGGGGGGGGGGAGGTTCAAGGGCTGTAGCTGTCTGGGAGCTGGGCCCTCCTTTATGAGCTTTGGATGATTGTGAAAATGCAGGATTAAGAGGAAGTATATCCCACCAGCTGCCCAAAAGCAGTGCTAAGCTAGTAGTAATCAGCAGTGGCAGGAGGCATCCTCACCAGCAGTTCCTTTTCCGTAGTAGTAGTACCACAACAATATGACCAGAAATGTAACTGTGGAGCTCAGTGTTTAAACAGTGGGAGAATATTTAAAAGAATCTCAAGCGCTCTTCTAGTAGCTCCCTTGAAGGTTCAAAAAAATATTATGAAGTCTTCTACTACCTAGTGCGCTCTACTGTACTGCACACTCAAAAATTCTCCTACAATGCGGTACTAGCGTACAGTACCGTTTGTAACCGTTGAGTAGTATCAAAATTACATGTAACCATGTGCGCTTGGTTACTAAACTGGTACATGATTCGTTGAGCAAATTGCGCGTACAAACAGTACTTATTTTTTGCTTAAGTACATGCACCTCAACCTGGTTACAAACCGCGCGGACTGAATTTTGTAACCAGAATTTTGTAACCAAACCCTTCCTTAATGAGAGCCCATATTTTCTCCACAATAACATTAGTAGTGTGGTTACAAAAAAAGGGTCTGGTTACAAAAACAGGCGCACTTGTTCCCTTGTGCGCGCTTGTAACCAGGCATGTGCACCTCAACAGGTACGAACTAAAAACTGTCTTCACTACTGTAAATACATAGTATCAGTAATTGTACACAGTATCTTGTACGAGGAGTACAAGTACTAAAAAAATGAGAGCAGTTCTCAGTTGGAAAAACTGATCTTGATTGCTACTCCAGTACAAACTCATGTAGAAAACACTGTAGAAATATTGATTTGCAGGGGGAAACAAGCAAAAAAACAAGCAAAACACCAGCATCTGTATCATATCAGCGGCTCCTCTGTATCAGCAACTTGTATTGTATCTGCGCCTCCTCCGTATCGTATCAGCGTCCTCCGTATTAGCGGCTCCTCCGTATCGTATCAGCGACTCGTATCAGCAGCTCGCTACTCCGTATTGTATCAGCAACTCGTATCGTATCAGCACCCTCCGTATCAGCAACTCATATCAGTGACTCATATCAGCGTCCTCCGTATCAGCAGTATCATCATCCTCCATATCAGACCCTGGTGGTGAGCAGTAACCAAGCACGCATGGTCACATGTAATTCTGGTGCTACTCAATCGGTTACATAAATAACTGTGGCGTCGCATCAGTCCCACGCCACAAGTATCTTCAACACCAACAACAACAAGCTCTCAAGCTAAAGCTCTCATGCTTGTTGTTGTTAGTGTTGAAGATACTTGCAGTAACCTCACTTCAATCTCGAGCTAAAGCTCTCAATCTCAGTGATGTTACTAGTGTACCATAAATGTAACCAGAATGTGTACTCTGTTGAGCTCGGTGTTATTATCGCATGAAGAGTTTTTGTACTGTGGGTTTGAGAGCTTAGTATAAAAACTCCTTTTTCAGCGATAATAACACGGAGCTCAACAGAGTACCAGTTTGAGTGCGATAAGACTATTGATTTTTAACAGGTTATGAGTACAATAAAACGCCCTAATTTTTAGTTATCTTTTGCTTGTTTGTTAACGCTAACAAAGCACCAATCAGAATTAGAGAATCCATCAGTTGGAAAGGGTTTTCTTTTCTCTTCACATAGATGTGCACATTGGTGGGTGTTTTTTTTCGAAAACCTTTATGGGCTTCTTGATTTCTCTGCTCACCGAAAAATTTTAGAAAAAAATTAAAACAACCTCCAGCATGATAGCAAGCTGTCACCTCTTTAGTTCTTCATCAATATCCAACCAATCGCGCTCACAAGACAAAAGTTGCGGATCAATCGACCTAGTGGTTTTGGAGGAACAGCGCTGTAACTACCAGCAGCGAAATCGCATCGACAAATCGCAGCAAGAAAAAGAGCCGTATTGTATCACCAGCGAGCGTCCCCCTCCCCCGTATCAGCAAGCATCCTCGTCCGTATAATCATAATCATCCATAGTATCAGTAGCTCCTCCATGTCAGAATCCTCATCCGTATCAGTAGTAGCTCCTCCGTATCAGCATCCTCGTCTGTATCAGTGAGCTTGGAAAGCTCCGAAAAAGCAAATAATTCGATATAAAATAGTTCCTTATTGGTTCCAGGTGGAACTAATTGACAGCTTTATGTTCCGGGTGTAAAATAAGACTATTGTTCCACACGTAGAGTCCTGTAGAATCCCTACTGTTAAAAAGCTGTCACGTCTTATTTCGCACCCAAACTGGTACTTGTACACATTCTGGTTACATTTATGGTACACGCGCGGACCGTGCGACACCACAGTTACTATTGCTATTATTTTTAAACGGTGCTCAACTGATACATTTCTGGTTACATTTTGCTCATGTGCGCTGCGCGAGCTCCTCAACCTCCACAGATCATAACCATAATCATGGAAGTCTAATAGAAAAAAAAGTACAAAAATAGTCGTTATTCGACTGGAATTGTCCTTCTGGAATAAGGGAGTTTGAGGGGGAGAAAAATGTAAAAACATAGTATCAACAAATTTTTAATGTAAAGCATGTACTAGGTTGAACGTGATTTTTTTCTGTAAAAATATAAAGTTACGGAAATGAGATGTTGGTGGCATGAGATGAGTTTCCTGATATGCTAGTACTATGAAAGATTGAACAAATGACAAAGGTACAGTTACGTACAGTACACCCAACTTTCGACTTCCCCTGGCTGCGCACCGCAAAAGACCTAATTCAATATCATTATTTTATTTTTAGACCAGCAGCTGTACGGTACGGTAAATGTTTTTTACGGCAGCTCTGTTCACAGTTCGAAATATCGACAAACAAAACATCATGATGTCGTTTTCCTCAGGCAAAAACGACCACGGAAGTAGAAACAACCATAAAGTCACGGCGGATTCGTACGGGAACATTGATGCTAGGGATTCGGGGAAAGAATGTTGGATGATAAGAATTCCACCTAAATTGGCTGCGGCATGGGAGGATTGTCCAGAGGGCGCTGTGCTCGGAGAACTCGTTTTTCGAAAGGGGGGCGGGAGAGGATCGAATCTGAAGAGAATTAAACCAGCTTTGGAGGTCAACGTTGACCCTAATGTAGTGAATATCACCGAGGGAAATAGTGGCGACCCTACTAACCAGCAAGAGCAGCATAAACAACAGTTGCCGCTACATTATTCCTTGCAGGCAATGACGAAGAAAGTCGCAACATTGCATCCTTTCACCCGCCACCCAAACGGTTCTGTAAAAGTTCATGGTAAAGTCACTCGAACTGCCAATATGCAGGTCATCCAAGACGCTAAATATCGCGCGCTATGCAAGACCCGTATACTCGCCACTACTGTTCACAATAGTCGCTATGTAAAACCAGTGGATAAAAATCAGATCGTGCAACAATCCAAGAGTAAGAGCGCCAACGCCAACAAAAATAAGCACATGGTAACGTCATCGAACTCCACTGCGAAGCAAGGATTTGGAGATGCCGTTCACTCATACGGGAAGCGGCTGATGGAATCACAGCAGCAACAAGCTGCCGCATACAAGCTTGCTTTGTCGACAGGTGCTGGACGCAATGGCAATAAAAAGGTCCGAAGATTTGGACCTGATGAATCTGTCAAGTCTATTATTTTTCAGTTGTACGAAGACAAACCTTATTGGACGTTCAAAGATCTTAAAGCGGCATCAGGAGGCCGAAACGAGGCTGAAATCAAGAAGATTTTGGGAGAAATCGCTTTTTATCATCGCTCTGGAGAGCAAAAAAACACCTGGGAGCTAAACAAAGAGTACCAGAGTGGAAACCCAAGCGGTACAGTAGAGGGAGACAGGACAGTTTAGTACTAGTAGGTAATTTCATAAGTCAACCAGCGTCATACGTGTATCCTCGAATTGAAATTAACTTGATCCCTCACTAGCAAGGACCTTCAACCGCCAACAAAAAGGCAAAAGACTGATGGATCTGGCAGTGAGGCCAGTAGTCAAAACTTTAACAAGCTCTAATGAAAATAATCATCTTTTGTCCTTCTACATATCAGTCCAGATAAAGTTGTTGCCACCCATTGTGTGTCTGATTCCTTTGGTAGGAGCAAGAGTTCTTCTATGCACACCAAATGCACTCAATTGAGGAGGAAAAAAGCCTTGACTGGAGATCCAGAAGTGCAAAAGGAAGTAAGACTGCCAAGGGAGGCACATTGCTTGTTCTTCATCAAGGGCAATCTAGGTGCTGGAGAGGAAACAGAACAAGACTACAAGAATAACAAGGCTGTTGAGGTTTTGGATCCTTCTTCTAGAAAATTCATACCAGGAGCAGCAACACCTACAGAAGCACGAACAATGACGCTAGGAACAGAGGTATCACCATCGACAACAGCATCATTGACATCAAAATGTGTAGCTAAGAGAGCTTAAGGGTCATGCAGTCACAGTTGAACCTTCTTCTTGAAGTTGCAAGCATTCCTCAAGAAGTAGGAGGCAGGAGTAGAAATGTTCAAAGTTGAGAGATCAGAGTGGGTGAAAGAAAAGGAGGAAGAGAGAAAGAATCAAGAGAGAGAGAGAGAGAGAGAGAATCAAGAGAGAGAGAAAGAAAGAATCAAGAGAGAGAGAGAGAGAGAGAAGTAAAGAAACAAGGCCTTGACAACCAGGAACATGATGCATGATATAAAACAATTGGCATCATGGAACACAAAGGAAGAAACAAGCATCTTAAAAATCACAACAAAGTCAGTGTCAAGCTGCGGCCTTCTTTTGTTAACACCTGCTGAGTGAGTATGGAATCCACTAACAAACAACTTCCTTCTTGTTATAGTAAAGGTGGTGGTCCCTAATCAGTCTCATTAGAGGTGATTGTGTTTTACTATTCTTTGGTATTTGTCTCCAACTGGTCTATCATAATTAGCAATTACTTATCACTTCACATCACTTACTAATAGAACAGAGTCAAGAGGGTGTCTATGGAGTATAAAGAACAGAAAAACCTTCCTGGGACTTTCTTTCAACTATGTTACATCACAGTTGTTGGTGTGCAACCAAACACCATGGAAAAGGTAGCTCCAGCATCAGGAGATCCAAAAGCCCAGAAGAACCAATACAATACCAATCCAAGGCCTCACAGGCAACAAGAAGTTTGATATCATTGCTGTTGTTGACTTTGAATCTGAGCTGGAGAAGGCCCCTGGAGACATTGTGATCTCCTACTAGTACCCCACAGCAGTTTAAAAAGGCTTGGTATCGCTAGCCAGAGATGAAGAGGAAGAGGAATGAGAAATCAGTATATCTACTGATTCCAATTCTAGGGATTCTTCTGACTCTTCCTTCTGGAGAATGTCTGTTTTGTTGGTCCTCTTCCTCCAACACCTGGGCCTTTTCAATTGCTGAGTACTGGTACTAGAGGAAAATTATCTTAAACACACCAATTGTTGCACTTTCAATTGCCACAGACAAACTATGAACTACTAGTAGTATTAGTATTACTATTATATTAGTAATTCTAGTACTAGTACTAGTAGTACTAGTGAGGGCAACAGTGTTCTTTTCTTTCTAAACCTCATGTTGAGTTGTATTAGTAGTACTAGTAGTTCCAGCAGCAGTAGCACTAGTACTAGTAGCAACAGGAAACCAGTGGCACCAATTTTGTCTGCTTTTACTTTTGAAGTCCCTATTCTCCTCCTAAGACCAGTAGCAAGCCAGCAGTATGGCCTTGTAGAAACCTCCCATTTTGTTTCCTGTACTATTTAAAATTTGTAGAAATACACTATCAACAACAAATTATCACTAGAACAATAGTAAGCACCCAATAACAAAAAAGTGCTCCTCTTTCCTCAAAATCTGACTTGTTCAAAGATCTCAAATGAAAACATGGTACAGTTCAATGTACAGCCAAAACCCAATGAGGGTGAGACAGGTCCAGAGCTAGTGCAAGAAATTTTACATGGCTCTACACAGAGAATTGTACATCTCATTTGGGTTCTCAACTGTAACCTCCTGTCTCAAAATATTTCCTAGTATTAATGTCTGCACCAAAAGCTGACTGATTTCTGAGCCCTCCTGCCTTGTTCTTGTTTGTTCATTTTTGGTACTACTAGTAGTACTACTAGTTACAGTGCTATTTCTTCAACCTGCAACTTCCTGATCTGCTTGTTCTTATTGTAATGAAGTAATTCCAGTGGGTGTATGGAAGGGAAGTGTTGCTAATAACTCTGTGTGAATGGTGAGACAGGTCAGTTGAATAGAGTGATAGCTCCAGTTAGTAACAGGTCCGTTTTCTTGTACTCATATTCTGTCTCAGATTCGTGCCGTAAATAGGTTTGTAGCGGATTTACGGTACTACTTTAGCTCGCACATAGTTTGTCGATTTGCAAAACAAAAAAAAATCCTGTTTGCAATGTACTATGCGCGGACAAAACTGCAAATTTGCAGTTTAGTACAAATTTAGTCCCTTACGTGTTAAATGCATGTAAAAAACTGCACAAACTAAACTGCAAACTTAATAGTGGTGTAAAAAAGCATCTACTAAGCATACAATAAAGACCTAGTTTTTTGTAGAATTCATCTTAACATTCTAATGAACATGTTGGGTTCAGTGGGTAGTTTGGCCATGCAATTTTTATACTGAAACTACTGGTATAAGTAGGAGGTCCTAGTAGTAGTACTACTACTAGTACTAGTACTAGTAGTATTACTAGTGCTAGTGCTAGCAGTGCTAGTAGCAGGAGTATTACTAGTACTAGTACTACAACTAGTACTACATACAGCTTGGTTTCAAGTGACAATAGGGATATGTATTACTAATAGTTAGTCCTAGTAGTACCCCCCATACTAGTAGTAGTAGTACTAGTAGTACTAGTACTACTACTACTACTACTACTGGTATTTCTAGTCATGCTAGTGCTAGTAGTGCTAGTAGCAGGAGTATTACTACTACTACAACTAGTACTATACACAGCTTAGTTTCTAGTGACAATGAGGAATATGTATTACTAATAGCTAGTACAATAGTTGGTAATAGTATAAATAGTATTGTTTAGTATTCTAGTAGTTAGTTTTATCCATAATATTTCAACTCCCATTCACCAGTTGGATTTTGAGTGATATTGTCTGATGGTTTGAGAGCAATAGCATATACTGCTTCAAAGAGATAACATAGATGTCTGTATTTCCTGTTTGCCAAACTGTCCTTATAGGAGCTCTTCCATGGCAGCATTCTGAGCTGTTTCTCTTCTTCCTCAGACCAGTCAAACAGTGATAAGATCTCATCCCTCTTGTTCCTATCCATACCTATCCCAACTCTCTGATGGATATCTTGAAACATCCCTTTCCTCCCTTCCACCTCATTGGCAATGCTCCTGTGAGTAGTCCTTGTGTCTTCAGCTTCTTCATTTCTCTCTCTAGCAGTGACCTCAGTGGTGAGAGAGTCCCTTTGGTAGTGGTATGGCGACTCTCTTTTCTTTCTACCTTGAAGAAGGACCCCAAGTCCATAGGTTGGAAGCAATTGGTAGTCTTGGCACCAATCTTGTTGTAGTACATGCCTTTCTTGAACAAGGTTTCAATGGTGTCCAGCCTATTGAGTCTTGACATTTGACTCATGTCACTATCAACCCACACCCTTGCTGATAGCTCTTCTGGGACCTCCTCTGCAGCATCAACTGGCACATGACAATGTAATTGCAGAACCCTCCTGTAATAAGAATAGATAATGGTGTCATACCATTCAAAGAATTTTTGCATGTCCTCATTCTTTCTCAACAAAACAATGTACCCAACTTCCAAACTTCTTGCATCAATGTCAGAATTCATACACATACCTGGAACTTCAATAACAATGAATGGTTTCTCTGGCATCTCACTTTCACTCAAACCACTGAAGATAGCAACCATGGGGAACATATGGCCAGATGCAGTGGCTCCTTCACACCACTTGACAGATAA